TCCATTCAGACAGGTGTTGGTCCACACCTGCCCCCTCCAACTTCCCCCTCAGCAGTGACGGCTGGATTGTGTTGAAAGCACTGGAGAAGTCAAAGAACATGACCCTCACCATGCTTCCGGGGGACTCCAGATGAGATAGGGCTCGATGCAGCATGTAGATAATGGTGTCTTTAACCCCGATGCCAGGACGGTATGCAAACTGCAGCGGGTTGAGCGCCGAGCTCACCTGGGCACGGAGGTGGCTGAGGACAATCCTCTCCATGGTCTTCATCAGGTGGGAGGTCAGGGCAACGGGTCTGTAATGGTTCGGCTCCTTAGGATGAGGTATTTTGGGAACCGGGACAACACAGGATGTCTTCCATAGGGCTGGGACTTTCTCCAGGCTAAGAGTCAGGTTAAACATGTACAGGACCACTTCACTGAGCTGGTCTGCACACTTCCTGAGGACCCTGGGGCTGATGTGGTCAGGGCCTGTGGCCTTCCTGGCTTTAATCCTCCTTAACTCCTTCCTGACCTGGTCTGCCGTATTTAGGTCAAACGTATTTAGTGAGATATCGGAATGATTTATTGATTTTAAAGTCACATTGATCAAAGAGTGTTGGAGCCAGGGGTTCTCACCTCGTCCACTTTTACTTCCAGTAGCTGCTACTTTATAATCCCTTAAAATAAAAGTATTTTTCACCCCTTAACTCATGCAAATAGTAACATAAAATGGAGAATACCTTAGCATTTCACTGTCCCTTTACAAACAGGCTTGTTATTAAGGTTATTTAAGCATTTTAAATGAATGTACTCTTTCACACTGAAATATTACTGTAGTGAAATAGCATGCTGTCCACATACCTTTGGCCACATAATGTATTAGTACTACAAGTTACACAGTAGTAGTAGATGACTCGCAGTAATCCTCCTGTCATCGCCAGGTGAGGCGTTCACCTGTCTGGAAACTGCTGTCCGATTGGACGCCCTCCACAGACAGCTGCGTCTCCTTGGAGACAACAACCCTGTGAGCAAACTGCAGGTCAAGTTTGCCCCCCCCCCCACACACACACACACACACATACACACTCTCACTCTTGTTGTTCATAGTCACACGGGTGAGTTTGCATCAGAGCTACCTCTTCCCTCTTCCCTCTTCCAGGTGTGAACCCCAGCACTCTGATGAATCTATTCACCTATGAGAAAGGCTTCTGCTTCGTGTCGTACCTGTCGCAGCTGTGTGGAGATGTGCGGCGCTTCGACTGCTTCCTCAGGGTCAATAAACACACACACACACACACACACACACACATCGCTCCAACATCTCCCATAGCTGTTCAACTGGCCTGAGAGCTTCAGAACCGCAGCTGCTGATGCTCGATTTCCTGATATTTTCTGGAATCTCGGCCTTGTTCGGTGTTGCACTTAGCTACAGTTGGTTTTGATCTGCAGGTTTCAGAGGAGCAACCTCAGCACAAAGCTGCTGGTGCTGAGAAGAGCACACATGTAGCACCGAGCACGGACACACAGTCCAGACGGTGGAGGTGTGTTCTCACTCAGAACACGTGAAGTACTCCTTTACTTTTCAAATGCTCAGCGCTGTTTGTCGTGTGAAGGAAGAACAATAAGTCTATCGTCAAAGCAGCTTACATGGTTTGTCTTCAGCCGCGTTACCATGACAACAGAAAGTGTCTCACCTGCACAAACACCTGAGCAGCTCTGTCTGATGTGTTTCCAGGATTATATCTCAGAGTTTCAGTTTAAGAGCGTGGTGGCGCAGGACCTCATCGACTACTTCCTGAGCTACTTCCCGGAGCTGAAGGACGCTGCTGTGGCTCAGAGAGAAGGTGAGGAGCTGCTCACTACACCCACTGAGCTTTCTCTGGTTGGATTGTTTTCTGATGGTGCTGGGCAAGGCATAAGTGCTGCAGTAAGTACAGCATGCGCTCAGGTACACCTGTACAGGGGCGTGCAAGCCCACACGGCAGCCTTGCCACAACATCTGTCTGGGTGTAGCTCCTGATGTTTCACTCCTGGTCCTGGTTTCCCAGGTCTGGAGTTTGAGCGCTGGCTCAGTGGCTGTGGACCTCCTCTGTGTGAGCCGGATCTGTCCGCAGGGGGCGCTCTGATCCAGCCGGTGCAGGATCTGTGTGATCTATGGAGGACAAGCAAGCCCCCAGATCTGCAGACCCTGGTGACCTTTGACCTCTCAGCCTGGGGCACCTTTCAGATCGTCCTGTTCCTGGACCGCATGCTGGACCACTCGCCGCTGCCGCACGGTAATACTACTGCAGAAGTACTGATACAGCTAGTACTGCGGCAATGCAGTAATACTACTGTGGAAGTACTAATACTGCTAATACCGCTGCAGTGCATTAATAGTACTCCTACTGCTAATACTGGTAATAATAGTACTGCTACTGCCATACAGTAATAATATGGTAGTACAGGGTGGGCCACGGAAAAATAGCCCGCCTCCAGTACCGGTGCCGCGGGCATTATGGGCTACATTGCACAGGCTACTTTTCCGTGGCCCAATACTGCTAACACTGCTAGTAATAGTACTACTACAGGCACACAATAATACTACGGCAGTAGTATTACCAGTCTTTGGTATTTAGCTCGTCCTAATCTTAACTCGTTTTTAACTCGTTCCTTGTTGTTTTATGCTGTTTCTTATTCTGATAGGGATGTTTTTTATTTTGGGTTTTTAATACTTTGTAGTTTGTTTTGTATAGGCCTCCTAATAATACTAATTCTTGTGCCACACTGTACTGTTATACTACTGCTAGTAATAACAGAGTGCACACCGGCGGTATAGAGGACACGACGATGATGGAGACCGCTGTAACCATGGTAACTTTACATGACAACAGTGAGCCTTGAGCTTTTTTAGTTTTTGTGACTTTTCCTCTTAAGACTGACCCTGGTGCTGCTGTGAGCACAGATCCTTTCTCAGGGTTGTCAGTCACTGACTACACTCACCTGGTGACAAGAGCTCCCTGTCTGTCCACACCTGTCCAGATGTGATGCTGAGCCTCTCCAGCTGTTACTCGTCTCTGTTTGACGGTCTGAACGCCGAAGTTCAGATCCGCTGGTTGCAGATGGTGGTGAGGAACACATTCTACCCTGACCTGCCCCGAGTGCGAGCCTTCCTACACAAACATGTGAGGATGTGAATATGTCTGATACTACTGCCAGTACCACTACTACTACTACTACTGCTGTTAGGCTGGAATGTTTTCCTTTGATTCCTGTTAACATTTAAGATAAAGTAAAGATTTGTTGGAATTCACTGACCACAGCTCCCATGATGCTTTGCCAGCATCTCCATACCCTGTCCACCCTGTCTAATATTAAGCACAGAGAGACGAGCCGCCATCTAGGTACAGAGAAGCCTCCTGATGCTTGTATTGATGCAGATGCTCTGTTCACCACTAGAATCATCAGAACTGTGAATGTTCAGATGTAGAAACGTATTTATCCTGCAGGAGGCTTGGGCACATTGACGTGGATGGCAACTCTTATATTTCTGTTCTATAATATTTAAGTTGAACTTAGTTTCAAAGTTTATTCTTGTTTCTTGCTGCAGTGTAAAATGGCTGCCATGCGTTTGGGCGTCTTCATTAAAGTAGCACAAACATTTCATCGCAATCCTGGTGTTTCCATCTGTAAACATTAACATTTCCTGACCACAGACGTCCAGGATGTACACCGTGCCGCTGTACGAGGACCTGGTTGCTGGGGTGATGAAGTGTGTTGCCGTGGAGATTTTCTACCAGACGCAGCGCCGCCTGCATCCAAACCTCAGACGAACATTACAGCAGATCCTGTTCCAGTCTGGCACTGCCCCGACCAATCAGATGCCCCCCTCCCCCTCCACCTCACCCTCTATCTCCACACAGCTGCCACAGCCTGCTGCCACGGCAACTGCCTCCACTGCTACTGCTGCTGCTGGGACAACTGCTGCCATTGCTCTAAGAGATGTCAATGTCTCTGCATGAAGTCCACCTGTGCTGTCACATGATTGGTGGGTTGTTACAGATAAAGATGGTGACACCATCAGAGTAATGGCGTTGCCATGTCAACAGTGGCAGCTGACTGACAGTTACCAAAGGTGACTGTCAAAACACTTGACCGTGTCACGACAGGGAGTTCACTCCAGGTATGTCTGAAGTCTGAGTCGTGGCAGGAGGTCGCATCTGAGGTTAATTGGGGGAGAGGCCAGAGGTCACAGCATGACTGGTAGTTCATATCATATTCACCTGGAGCCTGAACTTTCTGTTTGGACCCGTTGTTCAGACTGTGGCTGGTGGCCCTGAGATGGGTCCAGTTGACTGCACAACAGTGAGTCTGGTGAAGACATTTTTACTTCTCAGTGCAATTTAACTTACAACTTGAAATAGGGTTTTCACTTTGTCCACCGCTCTCAGTAGAATCCGTTTCTGTCAGTTCACTTTGATTTCACTGGTCCCAGCAGCAGCTTCAGGTTCAGCTGAGTGACCTGAAACATTTATCAAGTACCCACAGGGAAGCTGACCTTGGTTTTTAAATGTTTTGACTTCAACGTAATGACCTGGTCTGGTGCACCGCCTCAGTTAGATTCTGTGACTGACGCTCAACTGCAGAACGCAGCCGGGAATTTGCTCTGTTTGTGTTATTTCTCTAAATTGCCCATAGGAGTGCATGTGCGTGTGTGTGATTGTTCGTCTATGTGTTAGCCCTGCAATGGATTGGCGACCTGTCCAGGGTGTACCCCGCCTTCGCCTGATTGTGGATTGGCTCCGGCCCCCCCTAAACAGTAGAAAATGAATGAATGAATGTGTTATCTCCCACAGAACCCGTCCAGACACCGACAGCACCAGTGAATGTGGTGTCCTTGGGGTTTAGCTGCTCTCCTGGACATACCTTTGTCATGAGCAGCTGATTGCAAACAGCTGATCTGTAGCAAATGAGGAGGAAGGTTGGCAGGAAAGTGCAGGACCTGGAAAGTCAAGTTTTTACTAATATTGGATGAAGGTTTGGAGAAAGTAGAGTGGTTTCCACCCACCATGTGAGTGAGGGGCCCTTGGGTGGAGGTTGTTCCAAGTTCATAGACGGGGAAGCAGCAGCTCACCACTCTGCTGCTTGTCCAGCTTTAACCAGCTATAGTAGAATGAACATGTGGGCATCGATGAAATGACTGGCTGGACCACAGGCCCGGGGCCCCAGGGTTCAGGCGCCCTGGGCCTGTGGCGTTGGAATTGACAGTTAATATTTCTTTCTAGAAAATCAATCAAATGACTAAAAAGAAGCCCAAAATGACGACAAATAGACACAAAGCCACTTCAGAGGGAGGGAGAATGCCCTCTGTTTGTAGTCTTTCAGTGGAGCTCCAGTGTGGGGGGGGTAGGGCTTTGTCCCAGAGTCCGTCTCTGAACATGGTCCTTCTGAACTGAGCGTGAACCAGACTTGTGGCCCTAACTGCTGTCTGATCCTGACACACCTGCAGACTTCACCTGAGTGGCCTTAACGCTGCCTTCAGTGCAGCTGGGAACTGGGATGTTTCTGAAGGAGTTCAGCTCGTCTGGTGCTGTTTTAACACTTCTGCTTTGCATCACCAGCAGTGAAGACGCAGATATGAAGTGGACTCATTTCCTGGGAACACAGCGGTGATCTCTGGAGGCTGAGACGAGCTGAAACTCCAGTCAGATGCCTGATTTCACTGCACAGGACGGTGACTTTGTTTATTTTATTAGATGTCCTCTGATCCACACTGACTGGAACATTAATCAGTCTGATAAGTAGGGGCTGCCTCTGAGGTGATCAGTCTTCAAGAAGTTAAAAAAAGAAATGTAAAAAACTATTTTTGTATTTTTACGTTTTGGTCATAAAATCTTCTTTGATGCTGAAACATATTGAATATTTTTAGCTTCGACCCAGAAGCAGCCGTCTGTCGCCAAACGTCCCACGGTTCCCAGCTGACCCTGAACGCCTCAGACAGATCTCTAATGAATGTCTGATAAAGAATAAAACTTGAAAGTACAAACTGTTTTGTTTTGTTTTTTACTGGCACTGTGGGATTCTGGGGGTTCATCAGAGCATGGTCTTATTCACAAAACCAATGACTTCAGAAATAATTTATTATTGCATTTCATATTTCTTGTTTAAAAGCAGAGAAACGCTTAATCTCGCCTCTTTCTTCAGTTGAAATAAACTTTCTCTTGTCTTCAACATACATTTTTAGGCGTTTTATTGTGTAGTTGCATAGATACACACTTATCTAGGAAGATCAGCAACACAATTTAATAATTTTCGTGAAATTCTTTAGTTTTATTTCCTCCACAAATTCAGATGTGAGAACATTATTTTCTAACCCCAATCATTTCTGCTCCCCCCCAAACGAGTGAATTAAAAAAGGAAGGGTAAAGTTAGACTTTCTTTATTTTTGAAAACACACTGGAAATGACTCCGACATGTGAGTCTGCTTCAGAATAAGGGCCGTGACGGGAAACACAGTAAAACTCTTCTCAGATGATTTAAAGCCTGCAGAGAGACACAGCGGCACGTTTTCATTGATGAAAAGCTGCATTTGCTCAGAAAATATTATCCCCACCCCCCACAGACGCGAATCCGAAGAAACACCAGTAAAGCAGATGAACTAGCAGAGCTGTATTGGTGGCCCCTGGTCCCGGCCCTGCAGCTCCTGTCATCAATGGGACTTTGACCTCCAGGATCAGGACCTGGGCGCTGTTGGGTGCCGAGTCCTGCACCTGGACCCTGAACCTCTTGTGCGCTCATTAACCCCTTCCATTTCTATCACATGCTCTTATTTTGAAGGGCCGCACCGGATGCAGTGCATCTTATTGCGGTAGCGTTGACGGCGGTGTGGCATCCGGGGGAGACTGAGCATCAGAGACCTGCGGCAGCCGGACCACACATCTGGACCAGAACAAACCGTGGATCTGACGAGGGTCTCGCGGGAGAGAGACTGGCAGGTGGAACAGCACGTGGACCATCAGGGAGACCGCCAGGTGGATCGGCACGTGCACCGACAGGGAGACCGATAACATCCCTCTCAACCCCCATCTGTTCCACCTGCAGGTCGGCGCGACGTTCCGGGCCGTTCCGGTGTCCATGGGGGACAGCATGGCGGAGGAGACCCGGGTCATCTACCACCTGGAGGACCAGGAGACCCCCTACTTGGTTCGAATCAACGTGCCCGCGCAGCGCGTCACCCTGGCGGACTTCAAACAGGTCCTGAACAAACCAAACGTAAAATTCTTCTTCAAGTCCGTGGACGCCGACTTCGGGTGAGTCACGTGATCTATAGTGGATCCCTATCAGAGATCAGCTGTGATCTCAAAACATGCTCATCATTAATACAGCTTCATATAATTCTATAATATTAGGTGATGTCATAGTATTGGCGTTTAGGTCCCAGTAGAGCCCTGACAGGTTTGAGTTGTTTTATGTGTTTTGGTTTATTGTGTATATTTTGTTATTTTGTGTTAAGCACTTTGGTCGACATGTAGTCCTGTTTAAGTGCAATATATGTTGATTTGATTTGATTTGGTTTGATTATACTTTATGTGGGCATTGTTCATTTATGTAATATTACAATATTAATCTTATAATAACACTTGACACAGGGAAGCCTAGACCTTATTATTAATATAGAGAAAAACCCGACAGCACTCTGTGACGGCAGGGAGGAAAAACTCCCTTTAACGGAAGAAACCTCCGACAGACCCCGGCTCTTGGTGGGCGGCCTTCTGCCTCGACCGGTTGGGGTGAGTGGATAGAGGAGAGAGGAAAGAAAAGAAAGGCTTGATAGCTAAAGGCTCTGCCTCCCATTCTACTTCTGTGGACTCTAGGAACCACAAGTAAACCTGCACTCTGAGAGCGAAGTGCTCTGTTAGGATGATAAGGCTCTACGAGGTCTTTAAGATACGATGGAGCCTTGTCATTAAGGGCTTTGTATGTTAGGAGAAGGATTTTAAATTCTATTCTGAATTTTACAGGGAGCCAGTGGAGAGAAGCTAATATGGGAGAGATATGATCTCTCTTGCTAGTTCCTGTCAGTCTGTGAACAGGAGGATGCATATAGTTTATCCATGTAAACGTATCTGGTCCGATGTGTTGTAAATACAGGAGGTTTTCTGTGCATCTCACTCATCTGTGCACGCTGCTCTGAATTCTGAGTCACTTTGATTTTTACTCTCTGAATTATTTATAACATCTTCAGGATATTTTTACAAGCAGATGAGACGTTGCGGTTTAATAACCGTTATATTCCATAGTGTCTGTACTGCACGGTGTGTCTGCTGACGCTGGACATGCAGGGACACACACCTGACATCTGATGATGATGGTGATGTGTTCACAGGGTGGTGAAGGAGGAGATCAGTGATGAAGATGCCAGGCTGCCCTGTGTGAATGGACGTGTCATCTGCTGGGTCAGAAACACACACAGTCACATTTGTCTTTCTGTACTTGTGAGGACTGACACTGATGCATTCACTGACCTGTGATTCTAGGGCCCATTCATTCAGCAGGCAGACCAGAAATGTCCTCACAACATACAAATGTCCTCACAGAGCAGGTACCGATGTGTTTCTCTTCCCGACTCCCTTTAGGTGGTGTCCGACGACACCTTTCATTCAGATTTTAAGGGGTCAGATATCCAGTCAGTGACCACGCCCTCCAGCCTAGCCCCACCTCCAACAGTGAGGACAGGTGGGATTGGAGACTCCAGACCTCCATCCTTCCAGTGAGTACCTGTCTAAATACACACCACACACAGCTCCTATAGTTTATACACATTTTGTACTTTACTGACTTTTAATGACAGGGAATTCTATAATATGTGCACAAGCGCAAAGATCTGGAGTGTAACACACAGGTTGACCTCATATTGAGGAATTAACGGGTTTGTCCAAAGAGTTTCTGCTGCATCTCAGACTCCATAGGGATTCTCACCAGGTTTTCAATCTGTGGTCCAGTTTCTCACAGAATAAATGTTAAATAGCAACAGCTTAACTGGCTGTCATTACGGAGATCAGACTGTCAGGATCAGTTATTTTTAGCTTTTATCTGTTAAAATATTCCAGGATCGAGCCTGGTGCAGACCTGTAGGTCCAGCTCAGGATGTCTGTACTTGTCACTCAGAAAAGTCATTCACAGCAACTTCACATCAAAGGAACAACACATAAACTAAAACAGTTCAGGTCTTGCAACTAGACGTTGACCCTGACCATGGAGGCTGCAGTCCCTGACAGAGGTGACTCAGGTAAGGTCTGAGAGCACAGCTGGTCCCACAGGACAGACAGTAGCTTCAGTGTTCAGATAAACACACATCATCTGTCTGTCTGTGTCAGTGCTGCAGCTGCCGGCAGCCATGATGAACTCCAGGGGTCAGAGGTCACACATGTCGATTCACCATCAGAGTGGAGAGAGAGAGACAGGAGCGACCGAGGTAAGACTGCACAGAGGGAGGGTTTTATTCTCCTTAGCCAGGACGGTGGGGACATGAAGAAGACATATAAGTGAGAAGAACAAAAAGCACATCAACACAGGGAGCTATGCCACATTAATATAAACACAGTTTGGTGCATTGTCTTTAATTTCATGGAATCTGCAGACAGGTCTGATCCTGCTGCTCCGTATTTTTGATTGGCTGCCATCTCCGCAGGTGGGTGCCTGAATGGACATGCCCATCAGCCAGATGGTCAGAATGGGGAGGAGCCAGCAGGTGGAGGTGACAGCTCGTCAACCCAACAGAGCAGCGAGCTGGAGACGACCAGTTTCTGCTCGTCTGAGGAAGACTCAGGAGGACGGTCAGACACACCCACACATAAGTTTGTACTTGTGTACTTGTAAGGCAACATCATGCTAACCTCTAACCCGAACCTGGACTTGATCCTGGACCTAGACCGCTGTTATTCACACCTGTTCCACCTTTTTATGGAGCTAACAGTTTGCCCCAGCTTCCAGTGTTTGTGCTAAGGCTAAACATCACAAACAAAATATTTGCTGCTACGTCATGTTTGAAAAGCAGCCAATTCCCTTCCTAAATCTGGCAGTATCTCTGACACACAGATCAGCTGTGACTACCAGGACGTTGACTGGAAACACACTGTACTTTGGGGGATTTGATGGAACTAACGGTTTCCTTCTGTCACCAGTCTTTATGCTAAGCTAGGCTAACCACGTACTACAGCCACAGATGTGACACTGATGTTTAAAATGGTGACCTGCTCTTTTAAACATCAACACAGGAGCCCTCTGTCATGTGACTCACCTACACCATCGGCAGCTCTTTGACTGGTCTGTTTGCTGTCACATACTCACCTGCCCTCAGGCTGTTTTCTCCTGCTGCTCCAGTAAACCTGTTCAGGCTCTGCTCTCTGCCACCTGCTCTGATTGGCTGATGCAGGTCATGTGACCAGCATCCAGCTGGCATTGTCCTACACATAAAAGAGTCCCTGCTGAAATAATGTGTCCCTGTGTCAGTCACATTCTTCTTCGCTTTTTATTTACTGCATATGTTTTTACTTATATTTGTAATTTATCATCTTTCCAGTCGTGCACAGGAATTTGTAGAGTTCAGGGTTTTAGATTTGGAGTTTTTATTCATGAATGGTTCAGCACTTTTTTTGACATTATCTAACCTTTTGTCACATTTCTGAAAGGTCTGGTTGTTGGATTACTGTTATCTTTGTATTTTTTACAGGTTTACTTTTTAGGTTTTTGATTTGTCATATTTAGTTTTAAAAGGTTAGTTTTCTTATTCTTATATTTTCATATGTACATGTTTTTGGCCTGATATTATTTATAAACTTTTTTTAAAATTTTGTTTGTCCATTGTTTTTGTTCTTATTTGTTCACTTACCAATTTTATATTACATTGTTTATATTATATGACATATTTATTTTCTTTTATTATTGTTTTTGTTCATATTTTATATTACTTATGTTTTTGGCTTCTATTTTTACACCTGATATGTCGCTGAGCTTTTGAACATGACATGACATGTTCATGTATTTCTCTCTGTGATGTCACATCAGGTTCAGCCAATCAACAGAGCAGAGCAGCTCCTCGCCGCGACTTGTTCTGCGACAGCGCCGCCGGCACCGAAAACCCAAAGCGCTGCAGATGGAGAGGGTAAACAGACAGTAACGCACAGCGATGAGGGAAACAGCTTTACTGATCTGTCCTTCATTTCCTGTCTTTTACCTGTGTGTCTGTGTCAGTCTGTGTCTTTCAGCAGTGTCACTGACTCCACCATGTCGCTCAACATCATCACTGTAACTCTAAATATGGGTGAGTACACAGCCACACTTCACACACAGGGACATTAAAATCACAGTTCTCATCATGTCAGCTGCTGCTTCCCGTCTGTCTATCCACCTGTCTGTCTCTCCACCTGTCTGACCCTCCACCTGCCTGACTCTCCATCTGCCTGTCTCTCCACCACCTGGGGAAATCATTGGCAGAAAATTAACATTTTGCTGTGGATAGGTGGGCTTCAGCTGAGCACACGAGTGGTGTAAAATACTGACCAGAACTTGGTAAAGTTTCCCATGATTCCAACTCACACAGCTGGCCACACTTTCCTTGGTCATGTTAAGCAGTGCAATGGATCGGTGCCCAGTCAGATTCCACAATTTAAACACACCACTTGCCAGTGATAATGCAAAATGATGAGAGTGTCCAAAACCTCAGTTTAACACTTGCTACAGTCAAATAGGTCTGTGCCCAACCAGTGCTTTGTTAGCTCACACTGGTGCAACTTGGAGCAGTTTTTATGCAAAATACAGGCAAAACCACCCCACACCCAAGTCTGTTCCCACTTCAATCAGAGTTCCGAACACAATTAATAATAACATAAAGGAATAATTCTGCAACTGAGTTTCACAGCGTCGAACTCTGATACGAACGGCATCAGCTTGATGAAGTAGAGAGTTACTGAGAATTGCTTGAATGTCGGGGTCAGTCATTTGTGTGGCATATTCAGGGTCATTTACGCAGCACGTGGTGGGGCGCAGGGTCATTTGCGTAGGGTTCTGGGAGCTGCGGTTTAGTATGCAGGGAGGCAAGGGAGGGAGGGCGTGTGACATCCACAGAGAGCCAGGACCCTTGCTGACCCCTGTCTATAATTCATCCCCTGGAATATGAGGCACATCAAACCTTGGTTCCTTCCCACCCAAAAAGAGGAGAGCGAACCTCTTCACTTTGTTGCAAAGCACTCTGACCTCGTATTAAAGCGAACAGCAAGAGAAATGCAGGAAACGCTGGCCATTAAATTTTCAGCGGCGTCCCAGGAGAGCGTTTCCAGCAGGCCCTCGATTCATGGATGAGAGAAGACTGAGGAAAGGCCCCATGCTAACAGGAGAAAAGTAAAGGAAAAGGAGGGAGGTGTGTGCGTGTTTGGGTCCAATGTTTACCCTTCTTTCATACATCCATGTGCAAACAGGTAATGGCACATCTAAAATTCCTGCAAATATCTACAACTAAATGCATAAATGAGACAGAACAGAGTGGATAACCTGTGTGTCTGTGTTTGGGCAGAGCTGGGGATAAATGAAGCGCTAATATAAAAGCTGGACCAGGCCTTAGGGGAGACACAACCCTCCCTCTATCCCTTTTTTCTCGGTTTTCTCTCGCTCCCTGTCTGTTAACCGCAGGTATTCAGCTCCAGTTCCGGAGGTTTCATTAGGAATGCAGATATCAAAGCGTGTGTGTGTGTGTGTGTGTGTGTGTGTGTGCGCGCGCATGGGGGATAAAAGAGGGGTGTCAAATAGAACTTACCAGATGTTCTAATCCGGCTTTGATGTTCTCAGCGTCCCTGCAATACAACAACACATTTGTCCCACTGTAAATAAAGTGTAGTTGCAAAACATAATTTAAGAAAGAGCATTTTTGTATCCACAATCCACACAGAGAAAAATAAACACATAGGAGACAGAAAAACCTCTATTCGAGTGAGCACTGTGAACATTTCTGAACCAGTCCCTGAATATCTTAGCACATTTATCTGGAACATTACCCCGACTAATTGTAAAGGGCATATTAGGGGCAGCAACTAATATTTATTTTTATTATTGATTAATCTACCCATCATTTTCTCAGTCACTCTATTCATTGTCTGGCCTGTAGCACATTAGCAGCGAACAACACACAATGTTTCCGGAGGCTAAGGTGATGTCGTTAAATGTCTTGTCGTGTCTGTTTGCAGAAAAGAGTAAGAAAACCAGAAATATTCACCACTGAGAAGATGAAGCAAGTTAATTTTTGCCATTGTTTTTCTTGAACAAATTACTTAAAGGACACTTTCCACTTGTCTCTCTCTCCATGTCTCTCTGTCAGAGAGGTATAACTTCCTGGGGATCAGTATCGTAGGTCAGAGTAACGACAGAGGAGATGGAGGGATTTACATTGGCTCAATTATGAAGGGTGGAGCAGTGGCAGCAGACGGACGCATAGAACCTGGAGACATGTTACTGCAGGTAATACTACAGTACTGTTAGTACTACTACTCAGACTAGGGCTGTAGTAGTACTAATAAAACCAACATCAGTATTTTCTTGTTTCAGGTGAACGACATCAACTTTGAGAATATGAGTAATGACGACGCTGTTCGAGTCCTCAGAGAAATCGTTCACCAGCCAGGGTCAGTTGACTGTTAATTACTAGTGCTGCGTCGTCTTCTTCTGCTCCTGCTTTTATTACACCACGTCCTTACTGTGGCACCTTTAGCGCCACCCTGTGGTTCTCAGTGTGGCTGCTCCTTTAGACAGTGAAACCAAAGAACAGTACCTCTCAATTTCCTTTAATTGCATGCGTGTTTCCCTTGCTTGCATCTTTTTCTTGTATCTTGGTCCTAACCACGTAAGATATGAGGAAAAATTGGAAGTCAAGAAAATCATACTAGGACAGAGGAACCATGATTTAAAGACATGACCTTTCCTTCGATCCATCATTCCTTTGATCCATCATCTGAAGCGTCCAATCACAAACTCATTTCTGATAAAGGGGCGTGTTGTTCCAAAAGTACACAACTTGGTCTATGTGCTTACATCAGAATGCACTTAATGTTGATTACAGCATAAACAAGCTCTCTTGGGGACCCTTTGGTGGCCACAAGGGGCCCTAAGCGGGTGCCTCGAACCAGCTCTACCAGGAGAAGATTGTTGGAGACTTTCACCAGTGCGGTTTCTGTATCTGGCTACACTGCTACCAGCTCAGTCAAACACTAGGTGAATCCCAGTCCTCTTATTTTATTGTTCCAAGGTCCTCGATGATTCTTCCTCAGTCCAGAAGTTGTTCTGGTCCATCATGATGAAGGACATCCCAAAGCTCTTAGGACCAAGGAGTGAGGAGGCTGCCTGGAGGCGCTGTAATCAAGGACACAGAAGTGCGTCCTTCACAGAAGTCTGTTACGGATTGACATGCCCCTTTATCTGAAATCAGTTAGTGACTGGACGCTTGGCATAGGGATCAGAGGAGAGGACGTCTCATGTAAGGTGAAAAGTATTTCCTGGGTTCCTCTCTCCTCGCAGTTTCTCCTTGCATCTTACATGGACGGGACTAAGATGCAAAGGAAATAAATGACTGAAGGAAATGTGGATGCAGTTCTTGGAACTGGGCTTTACCTGCTGTGGCACATAGCAGCAACACATCCCTGTTAGTCTGAAAGGTCTAATCCTGTCTGTCTGTCTGTAGTTCAGTGACGTTAACCGTGGCAAAGTGTTGGGATCCAAACCCACGAGGCTGCTTCACGCTGCCGAGGAGTGAGTCAACACTAGCAACAACACAATCTTAAGTTCTTCACACACTGACTGATGCATTACTGTGTCCATCACTTTAATGCTGCAGCTGGTAAAGGTGGAGCTGATGGTAACTACCTTATATACTTATACTGTGAAGTACTTTCCGTCCGACTGGGTAGCTGGTGGATTTCCTACTGGGATCAATAGAGTCTGATGGTTCTACTGGGTTTGATTCATCTGATTCTGGACCTGAAGTTATCAGGTACATGTAGTGCAGTAAAAAATACACGGTTTGTCTCTGACATGGAGCGAAGTCACAGGATGAAGGAGCAGGACATGGAAGTACTCAGCTAATGTACAAGTACCTTAAAATTGTACTTAAAGACTGGATTAATGAACTAGCATCAGGACTCCAGAGAAAATGCTTCCCTCAACTGATACTTTTGTACTTCTACTGAAGTGACATTTTGACTGCAGGACTTTTACTTGTAATAGAGTATTAGTACAGTACTACTATTTGTACATTACTGCTTGTATTTAAGATAAGGACCTGAGTACTTCTTCCACTACTGGTCACGTCTTGGTATGAATCAGGCCCCAGTGAAACACTGGCTGCTTCTTGCTGTCTGAGGAACCAGACAGGAGGATTTATTACAAATACATGTGACTGTGTCTGATCCAGAAGGGTCTGGTTCTAAACCTGTCGTTGTTCTACCCTCCATCACATTCCTGAAGGTGAGCCGGTCCGTCCCATCGACCCTGCTGCCTGGGTGTCCCACACCGCTGCCATGACAGGGAGGCTCCTCCCTCATTATGGTAGGACTCCCATCAGCCACCGCAGCATCCCTCCATCCTCCGCCTGTCCAGCCATGAGAACCAACCATGATCCAGCTCTGCCCTGGTGTTTTTCAGGTGCCCGTGAGGAGAACCATCTCAACATCCACAGCGACATGACAGCCGTTGTCAAGGCGATGGCCAATCCCGAGTCAGGTCTGGAGGTTCGGGACAGGATGTGGCTGAAGATCACCATCCCCAACGCCTTCATCGGTAAGACGGCCAGGTCGCAGCGTGCAGAACCAAGCTGAGGCTTGGGACTCAGAAACAGGCCAACATAAATATTGCTCACCACATACCTGCAGCCTTTCCTGAGTGTTTTTGTCACACCTGTGAGCACAATCACACCATCAACCCACCTGTTGGTTCTAGTTTCTAACTTATATTTTAATGTCAGCTTCTCATATAATGCAGAGATGTGAAGACAAAAGTTTTTGTTTATCCAGATTCCTGCCTCTTGCACGTGTCCAGCTTTATGGACATTAAAACACAGATCACAGAATGAAACAACAGAACCAAATATGAGACTGCACAAAGGAAGGAGGAGAATAAATAGCTACATTAAAAAGTTTACTGTATTTCAGTAACACTAAATCAGGCACTTGAAAACATCATCCTCCGCACAAGGTTTAAGAACCTGGTGATGAACTAAGGTGTGGGTGCATGAAACTGGTTGCACTCTGCTGATGTGTGTAGCTGCTAGAGAGGCACAGCCAGGCAGGTTTAACGCTGACACTGTCAGAGAATACAGAACGCACAGGCGGAGCTGTGGGGTTGACATGGGCAGCATTTTGGAAACAGGACAGAGTCTTGCAACAACAGATGCAATGGGTTAAATGTTCTCAGCACACTCAGAGTAAGTACTTTACAGTGACTGCATCTCAGTTTTAGGTCCAAGGTCATTGTCTCCGCAGGGTTCACTTCGCTGAGCAGTGCAGTTTGGTCGTCCTCGGCTGGGTCGATAGTCTGCAGCCACTCCTGTGATAGCTGTCTCGCTAACAGCCAGAGGGTTTTCAGAAGGTATTCATCCTGTGCCATGAGGTCGTCCGGCATTTTTCCCAGGCATACTGTGACCAAAGACAGTTGACTTCTACTCCAGAGATGTTCACTGTTTCCTTAGTAATGTCTTGCCCATACAATACAAGTCACAGTCAGGACCAGGAGGTATGGGAATGGTCAGCCACACTGTCTCCAGTGCTCACCCTGTCCCTGCTAAACCTCTGCATGAATCTCACTACTGGAGTGACTAAATGTTTTAACAGGTTCTGCCAGAAGAACTGTGTTGTAGGACCTGGAGCTGCTGCTCTTACTCTGGCTTTCCATGAGTTGTCCTGACACCTTCAGTTTCTCCTATGAGTCGCACACAGCTCACCCTCAGTCCGCCTGTCCCTCCAGGTTCAGACGTGGTGGACTGGCTTCACTGTAACGTGGAGGGTTTCACCGACCGCCGTGAAGCTCGGAAGTACGCAGGAAACCTTCTGAAGGCCGGATACATCCGACACACCGTCAACAAGGTCACCTTCTCTGAGCAGTGCTACTACGTGTTTGGAGACCTCTGTGGAGGTGAGGATGGGCTCAGCACCCTATATAGGGCTTAACATTTCATCTCACTCTTCTGAGCATTCAGATAAGAGTCCTGCACAGATTGGCTGGGCAAACCTGCAGCCACACAGCTCATACCTGCAGTTGTTTTTGCATT